AAGACGGGGGGGGGGGTGTCACACGACTCAGGACAACGTACAGTTTAAAATGACTTCTGGAAGTTCTCGTTTGCAGCTTTGGACCATGGTTGTCCCCACACATCTAAGATTGTGGAGTGAAAGTGCGGGTAGAGCAGGGCTTTTAGTTCTCTGTGTGATGTGGAAGGTCCGTGCTGCCAGATGTGCCGCCGAGCGTTCGCCTGGGGGCTCGCGTTGGGATCTGTAGCGAGGTCACTAGCGTGGCTGTGGGAGTGCGGTGGGGGTTGTCAGCCAGAAAGCACGCTGTACCTTGAGAGTACCAAGCAGCGACTTTGTACTAGGAATTCAAAGATTCCGAGATTTTTGTAAATTTTGCTATCTTATCAAGATAAAATTATATTTTTTTTCCACAGAGCAGTACACATTCCTTATAGAATCAGTAAATGCAGCAAAGCGGGGACCAGCAGTTGGCATAACAGCTAGGTCACTGAACTCCCACATAGTCGACAGCGATTCGAGTCCCGGACCCGGTAGCTTAAATTCACACCAGGCGTGAGTGTGTGTGTGCCCAGGATCCCAAGATGAGAGTAGGGGAGAAGGGATTGCGGTGTGGCCATCCCCCTGGGGAGTGATTTCTTGCTTTCTGTCTCTCTGTCTTTTTCTGTCTCTCTGGTGAGCGCATGCGCCCTATAGCCAAAACCTCTCCAAAAAGTGCAGCAAAGCGAATAAAGGGAGCCTGCACTCAGTCACGGAGGGCCACGTGAAAACCAAGGCTCCGTCTCCTTGGAGACATGTCCACGGGGCTTGGACAAGCTGTCCCCCCTGGGCCTGCCCGTGAGTGGAAGGTCGAGTGCAGTCGGGCGCTGTGACCGCATGTGACGGTGGTCCCACAGCATCGTAACAAGCCGTGCCACACGTCAGGCTGTGTCATGGACTCACCTGCCTGCGTTTGTGTAAGTACACGCTGATGCTCACATGGCGACAGAATTGCCTGGCGACATACTCCTCAGAACGTGTCCTGTCGTGCGTATCAGGAACTTCTGCTGAGGCATGCGTTTCAGCCTCACCGAGAGTGAGATTAACAGGAAAAGCAGTGTGATTGAAAACTCAAGTCTGGTGTGCTCCCTCTGCGGGGTTCTGGAGCAATGGGGCCTGGCGCAGTCTCAGCCTGCCCCGCCCTGCCCTGCCCTGCCCGCCTGCCTCCCACTGCTGATGAGGCGTCTGTGCTGTGCTGCGGGCCGGACTCTTCACAGGAAGAACCCTGGGCGCCCAGGGTGGCCGTGGTGACTGGAGAGGCTCGGCCTGGGACCTGCATGTTTCAAAGCAGTGAAGTGGCTGAACCATGTGCCGGAGGTGCCGGCTGGCTTGTGTTTGTTCTCTTCCTGATTTGAGAATAACCTATTGCGCTTCAGGAAGGAGGAGAAGGCACCCTGGATATGGTCACAGCAAAGCCTCGAGGCCTGGGCGCAGTCTCTGTCGGAGCCTGCTTTGGACTCCCTGACTCCCTGGCTTCCTGTGGGAGAGGTCCCACTGCCCTGGGTCCTTGGCAGCATGGACTGCTGGTCCACTCACGGGGCAGGTTGTGCAAGCGGCCGAGCAGGCCTGAGCACCGTGCTGGGTGCAGGCGGAGGCTTGCCTGGAGCCACCCTTCGGCCTAGCTGTGCTCTCCTGGCAGCCACTGGTCGAAGGCCCACGGTGCCACCTCAGGGCATGCAGAGGGTCTCTGCTCATGCTGAGGCTGTGCGCTGGCCCTGACCTTGGGCATAACGGGTCCCCATGCTCCCAGGTTCACCGGTTGTGCTGTCGGAGGTCTTAGAAAAGAAAAAGCGCTTCATCTCCGAGCTGGGACAGAGCCCTTCTGCAGGGCTAGTAGCTGCTTTTACAATTTGAGTGGTTCAGAAAGCTTTCAAGTAAAAAATGTAGCTGAGCCCTCCTAGTTGTAAGACTGATATGTTTACTTATTTAGTACTTAGCATTTTTAAACAGAAGTACTTTAAAATTTTATTATTTTTAAAATCTGACTAGAGAGAGACAGGGAGAGAGTGGGAAAGTAAGAACGCAAGCTACCAGGTCTGAGCCTCGGAGCGTGGGCAGC